AGAGAGAGAGAGAGAGAGAGAGAGAGAGAGAGAGAGAGAGAGAGACAAGAAAGAGGAGGGCAGAGATAGGCAGAGAGCGGAGCAGGTGAAGAACACAACCAAAACGGAAGGCGCGCGGTAGCACACAATGACAAGAAAGAGTGTATTTCTTGTGCTCGACGAACTCATCTCTGTATCCGGCCTCTTGGCGCCATTAACCCCGGGCAAAAGCAAGAACACCCGCATTGTTTCAACCGCATACACCACGAACAACCTCTCCGTTAACGTCGAAGTACTCTTCCGCCAGCAAAGAAAGCTGCTGTGTGCTCGCTTCGACAGCCGGTCCATGTTCTCCGCCAACGACTTTTGTTTTCCATCAACAAAATCTGACAAAGAACGCAAGGAGAGACAGCTCGTTGTGGTCTCACGGCGCAAAAAAAAAAACATCACCTCTTCTTCCTCCTCCATTTCCTCCTCGTACTCCTCGTATTCCTCCTCCATCTCTTCATACTCTTCCTCGTACTCCTCCATCTCCTCTTCGTACTCCTCCTCGTACTCCTCCATCTCTTCCTCGTACTCCTCCTCGTACTCCTCCATCTCCTCTTCGTACTCTTCCTCGTATTCCTCCATCTCCTCTTCGTACTCTTCCTCGTATTCCTCCATCTCCTCCTCGTACTCCTCTTCGTACGAGGTCATCTCGTCGCTGCCCCCTTCCTCCCCTCCCCACGCCTCCTCGCCCCCGCCGCCGCTACCAATGCCGCTGTCGGCGGTGGCGGTACTGTTGCCAGACTCTTCCGGCACCAAGCCCTCGTCGTCGCCAACGGGGGCATCCGTGGCGACTGCCGCGGGGACATTCGCCGGGGGCTCCGTGGCTGGCTCCTCCAGGGGTAACGCGCCGTCCGCGGTGCTGCTGTTGCCCGCGGGGGGCTCCGTGGGCGTCTGTTCCAGCGGGAACGTACCCTCCGAGGTATTGTTGGACCCCACCGCCGGGACCGGCGTGGCGGCTACGGAGGTGGCCGCCGGGGCGGGGGTGTTGCTGCTGGTGGTGTTTACTACCGCGTTGCCGCCGCCGCTGCTTCCCACCTCGGTGCTGTTGCTGCTGCTGCTGACGGCGCTGTTATTGCTGCTCCTGCTGCTGGCGGTGCTATTGCTGCTGCTGACGCCGCCGGCAGCATCACCGGCATCCCCGTCTCCCTCGCCGGAAGCAACGGTAGCGCCGTCGCCTTCGTCGGCGACGGCCGTGCTGTTGGTGGCGGTGGGTGGCGCCGTTGCTTCCTGTTCGTCTTCTCCAAGCATGCCACCACCGCCTTCTCCCCCCTCTCCGGTGCTAGGGGTTTGGTAACCGTCCTCTTGCAGCCTCCTCTCTTCCTCCTCAACCCACAAGTCCGTTTCGTCTTGTTGCCATCCCGAAGGGGCTCTGCGGAATGGAGGGAGGCGGGTCGTATTGTTCGCCACGGGGCACCCGAGTGTGCGGGAACGAGGGGGGGTAGAAAAAAGCTGCAGCTCTGTTCGTAACATCGTAATCGTACCACGGACATGCATGTTTGTCGTGTCCATCTTATGTTTGATTGCTCAAAAATTGAAAATACCAGGGGGAGTTACATGTCACACAAGTGTTGCAACACTTACACTTTCTTCTTTCGCACACGATTCTTCATAAAGCGCAGTCCTAGACCCATCTTCGCATGTGAACTACACTGCACGCACCAGACCCTTCTACAGGACGCCTTGTAATCGAAGAGGGCGTGACTATACTGTGTGCAAAAAATATGTTCTGCTTCTTTGACACATACCAGGTGGAATAGCGCCGCGTCGGATCTGTACATGCGACCCGGAAGAACAATCCCCCCCCGGCGGGACAACACGCTGAAAATTCGCCCCACCGACTAAACGGGCGCTGGTGTGCGGTGTAACTTGGCACGGTGGTGCGTGTTGACACATGCAATAAAAACCGAAGCACGAACGTATGTGTCTATAAAACGAGGCCTATGCGGACGGAGCACTACACAGCCGAGAGAGCTCAGCAACGCGCCACTAAAGCTGGCCATCTCTCTAGATCCGTGGCTGAAACCGTAGGCGGGTGGGGTCTTCGCACGCGCGCCACATTCCGCCAGCACTGCTGTAGGGTTATCTAAACAAGTACGTGCAACATCTGGGCAACATGTTAATGAGCATGGACCCGGAAGACCGCGCCACACCCCCCCCCCTCCCCGCCCGCGCGCTCTGATTTTCTACTCACCTCCAGGTCTCCTGGTGCTGCAGCCGCGGCAGCATGGAGGTCCTGGCGGCGGCCCGCAGGCCGGCGTTCCTGTCTTCCCCGCCCGCCGTTGCCCCGATGGCCCTGATCTCTACCCCCGGGGATAACGCGACCTGCCAAATCGTGAGAGACCCGCGCGTGCGCACACACGCAGAGAAATAAACGAAATCAATGACCTTTCCAAGTGTTCGCTTTCCGTCTTTAGCGTTTAGCCTCGTCGCTGAGACTGAGGTCTGCTTCACTACTGTCAGCCGGTCACCAGCGCGGTCGGTTGCTGCATACATCCCTGGTGTACACCATCAGTGTTTGGCTTAAAACAGATTCGAAATACGCCAATTACCCAGCCGTTTTCCCTCCACTGACTGCAAAGACTCCAACACATCCCCTTCGACGGCGGTTACATCACGAGGGTACATACAGTCGACCCCGCTTTAAAGACACACCGCGTTATTTTTTTTTTGAGTGTCTTTAACGCGGGGAAGTGTCTTTAGGATTCCGGGGCCACTAATTCACCGTCCCCGGGGTCAATGGAGGTGTAACATGTATGTGTCAAAATACGCGCATTTGAAGCAGGAATGCGACCACGAAATTGTGCTGCTTACTAGACCCCGAATGGGGGGAGTTTTTTCCGCGCGCACCATCACAACAGCATATAACCCGTGCTGCGGAAAGTACCTGCAGTAGGCTGGGTCGTGCGCCCCCCGTGAATATGTATTGCTTTTGTTTTGGTACACACACCCGAAATGTTGTTGATGCGATGTTGTTGATGCGATCGTTGTTGTCAGCACTCCGTATGCGTTAGTAAATGAAGAAGTAGAAAAAAATGCCCCACCACTCAGAACACAGCAGCAGCAGAATATTTGAACTAGCACGCGAGTTGTCGCCGATCGCGAGCCCCTCCTCACTACGCCCTGTCGTGGTCTGCAAACCACACGCGAACACCCTCTGTGATATGCAGATAGTGAAAGCCG